CTGCAACCGCGCCGAGCTCCAAGCCAAAGTTGTACAAGGTCCTAAGTGCACCGACTGGCAAAGACGGTTGCCTGTTTGCGAAAAGGCTGGTGGGGGGGGAAATCCATTTCAGCCGCGAGACACAAAACCAAGAAACATTTGTGCACGGAGAGCTTCCCACAGACTGCCGCGCGAGGCCACATTCTCCAGGCTCAGAGCCCTGCTCCAGGAGAGACAGGTTATTGCAGTGTTTGGCAATTTTTGAGCGATCAAAGCGAGTTTGTCAGCGGCCTCGCCCGGACAGCTCGGCGAATCGGCCAACAGCGCGTCACGATTTAATCGCACGTCTCGCGATAGCGAAAATAACCGGCGCCTCCGTCTCCACCAACGTGGCTGGGGTGGTGGTGGTGCCGTGGGAGCACTTACACCCCAACGTGAGAGGGCTCACACCCCAACGTGAGAGGGCTCACACCACAACGTGAGACCGCTCACACCCCAACGTGGGAGCACTCACACCCCAACGTGAGAGGGCTCACACCCCAACGTGAGACCGCTCACACCCCAACATGAGAGCACTCACACCCCAACGTGAGAGGGCTCACACCCCAACGTGAGACCGCTCACACCCCAACACGAGAGCACTCACACCCCAACGTGAGACCGCTCACACCCCAACACGAGAGCGCTCACACCCCACCATCGGAGCGCTCACACCCCACCATCGGAGCGCTCACACCACAACGTGACAGCGCTCACACCCCAACGTGGGAGCGCTCACACCCCAACACGGGAGGGCTCGCACCCCACCATCAGAGCGCTCACACCCCAACACGGGAGCGCTCACACCCCAACGTGGGAGCGCTCACACCCCACCATCAGAGCGCTCACACCCCACCATCGGAGCGCTCACACCACAACGTGAGAGCGCTCACACCCCAACGTGACAGCGCTCACACCACAACGTGACAGCGCTCACACCACAACGTGACAGCGCTCACACCACAACGTGACAGCGCTCACACCACAACGTGACAGCGCTCACACCACAACGTGACAGCGCTCACACCACAACGTGACAGCGCTCACACCACAACGTGACAGCGCTCACACCACAACGTGGGAGCGCTCACACCCCAACACGGGAGGGCTCGCACCCCACCATCAGAGCGCTCACACCCCAACACGGGAGCGCTCACACCACAACGTGACAGCGCTCACACCACAACGTGACAGCGCTCACACCACAACGTGACAGCGCTCACACCCCACCATCGGAGCGCTCACACCACAACGTGACAGCGCTCACACCACAACGTGACAGCGCTCACACCACAACGTGACAGCGCTCACACCCCAACATGAGAGCACTCACACCCCAACGTGAGAGGGCTCACACCCCAACGTGAGACCGCTCACACCCCAACACGAGAGCACTCACACCCCAACGTGAGACCGCTCACACCCCAACACGAGAGCGCTCACACCCCACCATCGGAGCGCTCACACCCCACCATCGGAGCGCTCACACCCCACCATCGGAGCGCTCACACCACAACGTGACAGCGCTCACACCCCAACGTGGGAGCGCTCACACCCCAACACGGGAGGGCTCGCACCCCACCATCAGAGCGCTCACACCCCAACACGGGAGCGCTCACACCCCAACGTGGGAGCGCTCACACCACAACGTGACAGCGCTCACACCCCACCATCAGAGCGCTCACACCCCAACGTGGGAGCGCTCACACCACAACGTGACAGCGCTCACACCCCACCATCGGAGCGCTCACACCACAACGTGGGAGCGCTCACACCACAACGTGACAGCGCTCACACCCCAACGTGACAGCGCTCACACCCCAACGTGGGAGTGCTCACACCCCAACACGGGAGGGCTCGCACCCCACCATCAGAGCGCTCACACCCCAACACGGGAGCGCTCACACCACAACGTGACAGCGCTCACACCCCAACGTGACAGCGCTCACACCACAACGTGGGAGCGCTCACACCCCAACACGGGAGGGCTCGCACCCCACCATCAGAGCGCTCACACCCCAACACGGGAGCGCTCACACCACAACGTGACAGCGCTCACACCACAACGTGACAGCGCTCACACCACAACGTGACAGCGCTCACACCCCACCATCGGAGCGCTCACACCACAACGTGACAGCGCTCACACCACAACGTGACAGCGCTCACACCACAACGTGACAGCGCTCACACCACAACGTGACAGCGCTCACACCACAACGTGACAGCGCTCACACCACAACGTGACAGCGCTCACACCACAACGTGACAGCGCTCACACCCCACCATCGGAGCGCTCACACCACAACGTGACAGCGCTCACACCACAACGTGACAGCGCTCACACCACAACGTGACAGCGCTCACACCCCAACGTGACAGCGCTCACACCACAACGTGACAGCGCTCACACCACAACGTGACAGCGCTCACACCCCAACGTGGGAGCGCTCACACCACAACGTGACAGCGCTCACACCCCACCATCGGAGCGCTCACACCCCAGCAGTTGTCCCTGCTTGGGATCAACTCGGTTCATTATCCCTTCAGAGTTTGGCGATTAACTTCTCATAAAAACCCGACTTAAGAGTTTCTTAGCTCACAGGGTAATAAACTGAAACAAAGGACTTAAACAGTGGCATTGAAATAATTCATTTTAACTGGAAGCATTTCGCTATTCTTATGACCTTCACAAGCACGTGACGATGTCATAACGACTCAATAACTGCGCTAAAATCGTGAGCGAATAATCGCCTTCGTTTATTTAAGGTTACGTGCAACCGTTTTGCAGTTACATTAAAACTCGTAGCAAAGCAATATTGTGAGAGAGAAAAATCTCGGAATAAGCGACGGTAAAAATAGGAGGGAAAAAAAAATCAATGCTTGAATTAAATATCAACTCTGAGCCGTGATAAATCATCAATTTGACAAGGGGGTGAGAATCATTAAACCAATAGTTGTTAACATCGATTCTATTGTTGATATAATCCTCCTGCTAAATCTGCACACGTACAAAAATGTGGCATTTGAATGTGTGAATGAATACACGATACAAATGGTTACACATTGACGAGAGCATTACTCTACATGCGGCAATGAGCATAACGAGTATCTCTCGCACACAGACAGCACATCACAGACCTTCCAAACAATGAAGCATGCACTGAGCAAAGCGGAGGGAAACGGAGCTTGAATTTTGATGCAGAGCTAATTTGTAGGTGTAGTGTTTTACATCAAAATACCCGTGACGGCTAACCACGACTGTTAACCACCATCACGTTACAACCCACTTAATCCATCCCAGATTATTGATTTAATGTAATCGTGCAAGATTATTTTGCAGCGCATTGAAGACAAGTTCAATAAACGTTACGTAAACATTTTTTACAAGTAGAATATTTTTTTATTTCATTAAGGTTTGAGTGAAAAAATTACAGGATCATCTCGGTCAAATGTTTTTATTATACAACTTAAATAATGAGGCACAACCACAGAATTCTTGCAGCCAAACGGACGTTGCAATTTAATATCTACACAGAAATTATTACCCCAGTTGATACAGCAGCCTCGTGTGACCATTTCACATTTTTTTCAGCAAACCACAGCTATGGTTTAGTGATTTTTTTTGGTTCATGGTTTTTAGACTGTCGATAAGCCTCGTCATGCCCCTAATGCCGCAATTGTGTCTTGAGATGTTAAGGATAAGGGCTCATCCTCGAAGCTGCGCAGCTCGCATGAAATCGGAACTGGCAGAGCCTGAAGGCTGCCGAGTTGATAGCGTGTTTCACATTGTGCTGACCGGAGCCTAATGGGGGGAGGGGGGGCTACATCACTTCTCTGCAGGAACACCGATGATATATCTACAAAAGCTAAACGAGCATAAAAAAACCCCTTTGCTATTCAGCACAAAGTGGCCTTGCTTTGTGTTGATTTTTCATAGTCGCCGGAGGTTGTTCTTTCCAACAGACAGCAGTCACTTGCAACGACATCGTCATACTGCCACGTGCGTGTGTGTCACAGCGAGTCTGTGTGTGTGTAACAGCGAGTCTGTGTGTCACAGGGAGTCTGTGTGTAACAGCGAGTGTGTGTGTGTGTGTCACAGTGAGTCTGTGTGTGTGTAACAGCGAGTCTGTGTGTGTGTAACAGCGAGTCTGTGTGTGTGTAACAGCGAGTCTGTGTGTGTGTGGGGGCGGTAGCGCAGCAATTGGCCATGAGCGGGAGTTCGATTTCCGCTCACGGCCAACACCCGTGACGCTCTCCTAGGTCGACTCAGCCTCAAATGAGGACCCGGTGCGGTGTAAACATTGCCATTGGGGAGACAAAGGCGGCCGGGCGCGGTGCTGGCCACCCACCCCCTCGTGTAATATGCAGGCCTTCATTGGTGCTCGCTTACAGCACTTGCCCCAACAGTCTGCTCAGCCTACACGGGGGATATTTGGCCGTGTCTGTGCGCGAGATCACACGCGAGTGTGGAACATGAGCAATGGGGAGTCTCAAACACTCCCAAGTTCTCCCAGAACCCATGCCATATCTTTCGTGTAAATCCCATACGGAGCTAGCACAAGTCTTAGCGTCGGCAATTTTTTTTATTGTGAAAGTCATTCTGAACTCGGGCCACAGACCCGGAAACCACGTGTGCCTGTGTAAATGTGCATGTGTGAGCATTTCAACGTGGGCAGAGATTATTCATTTTAGCGGACTACGCTATGAAATCAGCAACCCAAGTTGAACATCAGCCATGGCAAACATCAGTGGCAAGTAGAAGATGTTGCTGTCTTGGACCTCCGCTTAGGCCTACTCAACTTAAAAATTATTAAATGTTGTGTGTAAACATCGGCAATGGGGAGACAAAGGCGGCCAGACGTGGTCCTCGCTACACCGCCCTATTATGTGCTAGGCTGGTCAAAATAGGCGATTACCAACAGCAGTTGCACCAACAGTCCGTATGGCTCTTTGTGGAATCTGCCTTCTTTTGTTGGGGCGGGGGAAAGTGAAGATGCATCCGTGGCTGTTTCCAGGCGGGACCGTGGTACTGCATGGGAAGCAGACGAGGGAACGAGGCATCTTGGGCTGGGCTTACGTCGCGGACCCGTCCTCGCCACGGAGCGCCTTGTACTTGTTCATCTCTTCGGGGAAGACGCGGCTGAGCTCGGCGATCAGCTGGCTCCGGAATTTCTGTAAAAGACACGCGGTTGCAGGGCGACGCGCCGCCGTCAGCCAGTGCAGCTTTCGCTCACCGTACCACGCCCTGCCGTCAGACTATTAGGGGACAGCTGCCAATAGGGGGTGTCCCCCCCCCCCCCATAGGCCAAGCACTGCACTCTAGACCAGGGGTCGTCAATCTGCGGCTCCCGAGTCCACATGCGGTGGCCCTTTGGCTTCCTCCTTGCGGCTCTTCGGTTGCCCCCTTGCGGGAAGCCAATAATAAAAAAAAAAGTTTAAATCCTAAATATTATTTAACGTAAAGATAGATTAAATATGGCAGGGAATGGTTCACTACGGAGTGTCTTGGTGACAACAAAATCTACGGTCAAACTGTGTTTTTAAAGAATAACTAAGAGGGGGGGGGAAAAAACTAAATAGTTGAAGTTTATTCCATCACCTATTTTGTTTACTTAAGCCAGAATGTGTGATCTGCTGTACAGCTGCTGCTGTGTTTGTGTATGTATACACGTGGATGTGTGAGTGATGTGGCTCTCAAACTAGTTTGGTCAAAGACTAAAAAAGTATCTTCTTCTTTCAAAGATTGCAGACCCCTGCTCGAGACATTGGTTACATGATGAGTGGAATATAAATGCAAGTTGTCGTTGCTGTTGTTCTTCCAGGAAACATTGCTCTTTTAAGCATACAGCCAGGTAGTACTGTGAAGGTGAAAAGTGAAGAAAAGGTGAAAAGGAAGTTGGGTGAAGTGGCAACGGTGGTGTTAGGGTCAGGGATAGGGCCATGTGACAAGGTCTGGTTTGCCAGCGTGCTTCACCCCCCCAGCAGCCTACTCCCTCTCTCCTCTCTCCTATCACCAACTGTTCTCACCTTTGGTGTTTACAGCACAGTGGGTACAGAGCTCAGCAACGAAGAGGTGGCTAAAAATTGATAGACCAGAATCTGAAACTTTATTTAGACTGGAGGAATCCGATGAGCTATGAAGCTCTTTTTTTTTTTACAAATGGAGCAGGGTAGAGCAAACCCACTGGTGTTGTGCATCTGCATCAAATGAAAAAAGAATAGGCTTTACCCTTTCCAGCAATAATACAGGTGGTGTTAAGATGTTCAAACACCAAATATACACTTATTGCAAGGAATCAAGTCTGCATGAACCACACATGCTTGTGGTAAAACATACAAACGTGCTTTGACAATATCCGCATTGCCTTTGAAACTGATCCCAAAGACATACGTTTTTTTCAAGTTATATTTAATACGAGCAAATTTTAATGACATTTTGCATTCAACATACTTCCTGTTTAATGTTTGGGTTGATGTAGGGTAAGCTAAATATAAGGTGGGGTGGGTGTCGTATTATGAACCGTCAACCAAATCCTCGTTTAACATTTTTGCGTACGCGTAGTAAACTTGGTGCCCAGAGAAAAGCTCCACGTGAAGAGATTGCACTCGCAATTCCATCCACCTTAAGTCAGACACCTAGTTGCTATTACAGCTTCCCATAGCGGCGACTACACAGCTCTGCACATGGGGCATCTCCCCCCATGTCGTGTCCTCAATTTGACCCACCGATCCTACCTTCAAAAGCACCGGATTAAAAGGGATGCATCTCGATCGTGTGATATATATATTACAGAGTTAACGGACACTCCGTGGTGGAACAGTATCACCATAATCATCTGCAGCATTCATCATCGCCCAAGGTTTTAGAGATTAGGGATTTGGGGAGCCTGGATCCACATCAAACGTTAACATGTTAATGATTAGAGACAGGCCGAGTTTAACTCTTGCCCATACATAGTATGCGTGGCAAGCACACACACACATATATACGGTGGATAAGGGCAATAGCAATGCTTTGCGTTAATCGACCTGAAGCCCAGCTTCCTCTGGCGGGCGGGGGTGGGGAGGAGGTGCATAGTGAGGCCTCCAGGCGGAATTGTTTTCATATTCTCCTGCTAGCCTCGGCCATAATTGCTACAATCACGACGATTGTCCCTTTTAACTCCCATGGCTTGGTGAAACGAATCACTGGACTGTGATTAAGCAGAGGACAGTCAGTGTTTGGGCGGAGTGCAGATGAGAGCTGTGGTGTGAAATTACTGACAAAAGGCGGACTTCAAACCCATGGCCGACTGTGTGGTGGAAACAGAGAGGATTTGTTTTCATCTATTTCTATTTTTTACCCACTCGGCTAAATAGCCCTGTGTCGGAAGCGACCTGGAAACAAATGATGGCCCCAACGAAGTGGCTTATCACGTGGAAAATAATAGCAGCCAAATACTCTTAAACGCATGCAAACTCCAAATATACAGCAGGCGTCAGTGTCGTGATAAAACCCACGACCTCCTGTATACCAGAAGAGGTAGTTAATATCTCGTCACCACGGTGACTCTCATCGGATTTCGATTTAAAGCTTTCGTGACTGCAAGGATTCATCTTCTTGGTTCTTTCGGTAAAGTCACCACGTAGAATGAGAAGAAAACAATAAAACAAAATAAGACAATAAAATTCTCACGACGTTTCGGCCACAACACAAGTAGCCTTCTTCAGGTGAAGGAACAGAACTGTCGGGACGACAGCGCTTCAAATGTCGTCCCGACAGTTCTGTTCCTTCTCCTGAAGAAGGCTACTTGTGTTGTGGCCGAAACGTCGTGATAATTTTATTGTCTTATTTTGTTTTATTGTTTTCTTCTCATTCTACGTGGTGACTTTACCGAAAGAGCCAAGCAGATCTCATCGGATTGTCCGCATGGACACCGCTGTGATCTGACCCATTCCAATGTCAAAGGCTGCCATGGCGTCAGACACTTAGCACACCGATCCATTTTCCATACAGTTTGAGCATTAAAAAAAAATTAGTCGCAGCTCTCCATCACTTCCCACCCTCTGTCGGGAATATTTCCTTTCTCCGGTGCTGTGGATGAGTCGACACTGACCCTCTAAGGTCCGCTCCCACAGACCCTGGAGTTCGACCGAAGAGCTCAATAAAATAATAAAATACGTGCATTCCGCATCCATTATATAAACAGCAGGCGTGTAATAATGCATCGATTAATTGATTAAAACCGATTTTCATGCTCGCGATATACGAGTTGAACCATGTGGCCGAGAACAAGATTTTTTACGATTTATGCAAATTGTATGCTAATGCCACACGTAGACAAATGGCAAGGATAAAATTGTACAAGACAGGAAAAAATGTGATTCTGATTCACATCACGACCTTGAATCATAAAATTCAATCGCAGGGGAAGGGTGACTCATAAGTCCATTATAATTAGCTGGGTGGAAGCCCACTGCAATATGTTATATATTTACTAAGATATACAAAGGTGGGTTCTAATACAGAACACTATGAGCACGAGTGATAACAATGATTTCTACAAGAAACTTCTAAAGTACAGCAAGAGTTATAAAGTAGACGTTACAAATACAGTATGATGCATTTGGTAAGAGTGACCCCCCCCCCCCCCCATTGTGTAAAAGTCACAGCCACAAGACCCCAAAAATTACCAAATGCCAATCACTGCATCTTGTAAACCGAGACTCCAATCTGAGCCATAATCTCTTTTGAAAGGATATTCAGTGCAGAACATTAATAACGACGCTCATATATAATAAGTATGGCAACACGTCTTTGTAAAAAAAAAAGGGATGTGTTGATTGATTAAATACTAGACATTGATTAGATTATGCAAGGTCATGATATGGCCATGCCTTATTGCCGACAGTCCACTGAGACTTTCATCCCAATATATTGTCACCTGTTTTTATATAGTTAATTGCATTATTAATTAATCCCAATAGAGTTGGAGGATGCTGCACCAGTTGGCTGAGAAGCCAACAATAGCTGTGCTGCTGATAGCTGATAAAAAAAAAACATACACCAGCACCTGCCATGGAAACGTACAAAGTTCCTCCACTGACCACAGACTGCGAATGAAGTTGACAATTACCCGATACTTAAGAGACCCAGAAACAGTCGGGCATGATGGGGCAATCTTTAAGGTCGGTGGCAGCAGTAAAGCAGCTCGGTATCTGTAGAGGCTGTGCATTACCATTATGACAATCGCCTGCTTACGCCAAGGCAGGCAAGGATAAACGCCGGTGGCAAGGGATGGGGGCATTCTGCCCAAATTTAAATCACGTGCACTAGTTGAGCGTTTCGCTCAACAGCGCATTAATCCTCCAGCCATCCCTACCTTTGCACCGCGCTCATTCCGCCAAGCAGCCAGGCCTCCTCATCAACATTCAAGTAGTAATGCATGAGCGGTACAGCCTAACAACAGAGTTCAACAAACACGCTAACGTTTGGATGAGTCAACCTCTGACCAGGATATGAAGTCACAATCTTTTGATCGCAGATCAAGCGCTCTTACACCAGCAACATCCATTTGGACCAAAATAGAGTATTGGACTGCGCGGAATATAAACACACACGCAAATATATGCAAAAGGCAAATCTCCCGATATAGCCATAGCAAACTTTTGAGGCAAGTGATGTTAGCGAGAACATGTTAAGACCGACACTATGCCCGGCTGCCATTGTCTCCTTAGTGGGGATGTTTACACACTGCACTAGGTAATCATGATGCCGAGTCGACCTAGGGGAGGCCCAGGACCAGTTCAGATAATCGTTGCTGGTGTTATCCATCAGCGGGAATCGAACTTGGGTAGCCGGGTTCATAGCGTAGCGTGCTAACCGCTACACTACCGCTCCCCCACTCATCTCTGTGGGCGGCCATGAGCTAACAGCAAACATTCTACATTCTCTGTAGGCCAATCACTATTTAATTCCCACAGCAGCACTGATTTTATAGTCAAAATGAATGACAGACTGAACCTAGCCCCGACTACGACTGAACCCAACGGCTGTTACGTAAATGCTATAATGAACGCACCACTCAGCCAGAACCCTCTGATCACGCGGGATTAATAAGAACATTTATTTCAGAAAATGTTGCTCTGGACTCGACGAAGAAATTTTACATTGTTCCCCAATACCAATGTATAAGTCATTTTTATGCGTTTCACTGGGCCAACACCTTTGCTTTCTGCATCAAGCTGTAGAAACAAAAAAAAACCAAGAGGAATTATTTAATAGGTAATTCACTGGCTTAGAAGGAGCCAAACGCTAACTTGGAAACAATAAGGTTTGAGTGAAATTGCTTATGACCTTGCGAATAAATTACACGCGCCCACGTGCGCGCAGAGCACACAACATTGATTATTCCACGGGAGATTACGCCTTGCCGTGCCCCGTCTCTGCCGCTTTTCTATTCCAGCCCACGGAGGTGACTGACCATGGGGGCTGAATTTGGTGCGAAATGCACTATTTTCAGAAGGGGAGAGTGCAATTAGAGAGGATAGTGCAGAAACCATCACACTGGCCGCAAATGAAAACAGCTTTTGCTTCGACTGCAAATAAATCCTAAGCATATCCGTCTCAATTTAGAAATAAGTCCCATGTGCTCATGTCTCCATCGGTGGCCTCCACCAGGTCGGTGGAAATGAGTTGACATTATTACAGCAGGCGCCAGCTTCTCCATGGGATGACGAAGACTTTACCCGCTAGAAGGTGGCGCTTATTTTACCAATCTCAGGAGGAGGGATAATATAGTCCGTACACGACCACAAGCCAAGAATTTAACCGTTGAACCTTCCGATTGGGAGTCGATCGCTGACCAGAGCCACGTGGTCGATCATTATCACTACCTGGGGATTAAACTTTTTGGAGTTTGATGGCTTACCAAATCGACGTGAGCATCAATGCCATGAGTCACTCTTCAACCTTGGGGGTTTATTTGACATTATTGACAAATAGGGGTCAAACGTTTTATTTCCACGCTTGGGTTTCGAGACACGAGTCATACATAGTTTCATTATTTATTATCAGGCTTTCATCACCGAACCAAACAATTGATTGCAATGTGGACATTAAACACCCATTGAACATCATTCTCAACAGTAGGCCATTATGTGTGCATCATAACACAAATCCCCAATAGGAAAAATGACACACACCAACATGAATATGTAAAAAAAAAAATCATACAAAGCTAGTGAACCTTGCAAAGAAAAATTCATAAATGGAAATGATTAAAAAAAGGTCAAAGTATCAAGGGAGCATTGGGTGGCGCTCATTCTCATTGGTGGAGCCTGAGCTAGCGGTAAAAAATTCCACATTAATTTGGCAGAGGGGCTAGTCATTGAAAAGCACAACTACTGTTGACTTCCCACTAACTGGTACTAACTTTTCGCGACCCGAGAAAGGATGACCCCGGCTGGGCCACACGAGGTTGGAGAGACAGATGAACGAAAGCAGATTTGTGAGAGTGGACGGAGAGGAGGGGAAACGTGTCGGCCTGCAGCGGGGGCAGCTGCACGCAGCCCGAATGAGTGCCAGCCAAGCGTGGGATTGGCGCCCGCAAGAGAGTGGAGGCAACATTAAGGGGCGCAATGAGGACCGTGAGGATCTGTCGATTCATTGATTAAGATCGATCGTGATGCTCACAATGCGCGTAGGAAATATTAACGAGTTTTTGCTAATTATACGCACAGTACACGATGTTATATCGAAGCCAAGGACATAGCCAAAAACTGTGCAAACAAAAGGGAAAAATGGAATCAATACAAATTAGACGAACTATTTGGTACTTGAATCTAATTGTGACAAAAAAATCATCAAAACGCTAGGGGGGAGGGGGAGTGTGAATCATACCATGCCTATAACAGTTTCTGAGAATGACTGACACTCACGTGAGCAGAGACAAAGCAGTGCTAGATAGACATTGGAGAAAGTAGATGTAGCAAATAAAGTGGTTGTGGTGACCCAGTGAAATCCTGGATTAAATTACCGAATCAACCTCGGTCTTCAAGATCTTCCTTGATTTCAACTCCACTACCTCTCGCCTCTCATCACTTTCCATCTCCCCTCCCTGTTGCCTTCGCTCCAGCAACCAACACCTTCTCTTGAGACCTCCAGTCAACCTCTGCTTTGTGGAATTTGCTCCTCCTCCTCTGCTGCGTCTGTGGTCCTGAACCTCCCCTGGCTGTCTGAACGATTGACTCTTTCTACTCAATTCAATCCAAGCAGATGACTTTCCTCTTCTACAAAGTCTGTACATGATGATTTTGTCGTCCTGTACAATAAAGCTTCATCCTTTTCCCTCTCTGCCTGTAGTATTCTACCCTAGCCTCACTCTCCCATCAAGATTTCCCTTTAAAGATTCCTCTTACCCAAGATATAAATATGCACAGCTACTGATTTTTTCTAACAGGGATGCATCACGTTCAGATGCTAAATAAGTGAAAAATGGCATCGGTGCAGTCGAGACAGCCCAGATTAGATGAGACAATCCAGATTATAATAATACTATATGCCACCTGTTTTACTCAGCGGAAGTTAAAGATCCCTGGTGACATCATTGTGTACGGGCGTCAAGATTTCAAAAATGTTCTAATTACCCGCAAATTATTCAAACGGGATTATACACGGCGGAAAATCATCACCTGCTACTGGCAGACTTAATTCCATAGGACATTCTTGCAAACGAGACTATCCTGGTCTCTTGAGTTCTCACCTAGTTCAGTGAAATAAACTGTACTTGTGGTAACAGGTACTTGGTTCGCTCCGTACAGTCAAGGCAGTTCACCAATTTTTCGATTTAAAGCTTTCGTGACTGCAGGGATTCATCTTCTTGGTTCTTTCGGTAAAGTCACGTAGAATGGAAATAAAATAATAAAACATTTTATCTTATAAAACAAATCTTATCTTATTCTATCTTAGCAATCATTGGAAAGATTTGATAAACCATTTCAGGTCTTAATTGATTGTTCACGCTTACAGTGGCTTTCAGACAGCATACATTATAAAAAATTTCGTCTCCCCCCTCCTCTTTTCAGAATATAGATGGACTAGTCCTGGGTAAACTGCCAAATCGTTGCGCGTGGCGCAAACGTTTTAAATAAATAAATAAATGCGCCGTTTTAAAATTAATTTATGCGAACACACCTGAAGACGACCGTTTGAGTTATGGTCGAAACGTCGTGAGAATTTTTTATTGTTTTATATATATTTTATTATTTTGTTGTTTCCCTTCAACGTGACTTTACCTAAAAAACTAAGAATATGAATTACTGCAGTCACGAAAGCTTTAAATCAAAATTTAAATCTTATCTTATTTTATTTTTAGTATTTATTTCCATTCTACGTGACTTTACCTGAAAGAACCAAGAAGAGGGCACAGTTCACCAAGTCTGTATGTATGTTGAACTTCTTTCGCATCGTAAGTAGCCAACCGTGCTGATCGTCTGTGCGACCAGTATGACTGAGGCGGCCACAGAGGTCAGCGTGGTCTGAATTTGGTGCGTTTTGTTGGGTTTGCACAATGTGCCTTTCTGTTCCTTTCAGTTCCTCTTACCTGGCATTCGCTCGTATTCCCACGCTCCTCTCACCTTTACCCCTTTTTGATAGGCTTTTGCTTTGGGTTGTTTGGCTGTCCCCCAACATAAATGTAATGTTTGTTGGTGGTGTTGTTTGCCACTTGTTGAACCAAGTCACTCTTGTAGGAGAGACAGTGGTCTCAATAGATTTTAACTGGTTACATGTCATTGGAAAGATGTGATTAACCATGTTAAACCTCAACCGCTACTCTCCGCCACTCCGCGTCCCCCACACCCCCATCCGTGGCTCCGATGTTTTCTAGGACGAGCTTCACCTTCCTGGCTCCTCCCACACACCCCCCCCCCCCCCATGCTGCGCCCGCCCTCCCTGGCTCCTCCCCCTCCTCTTACTCTATATAACAGTCTATCATCACAAATAGCTCTCTCTCTCTACAGTTATTTTGCTGTGCCCTTTTTCACACCTGATGAAGGTGGCTTGTGTTTGCCTCCGAAACGTGACTTTACCGAAAAAAACAAAGAGTATGAATCCTTGCAGTCACGAAAGCTTCAAATCTAGAATTACACAAATGTCGCCAACACGTGCGATATCCTCCCCTTAGATGAATGTTTAAGCCCTGCTGCGTCTCCTGACCTTCATGGCGTCGATCTTGCCCTTGACCTGCTCATTCTTCGCGAGTGCACGCTCCAGGCATTCTTTGGTGTAGAGCTGGGGGTTCTTCCCCTGGTCGATGTATCTGTGGCAAAGGTCAAAGAAATTCTGCTCCAGCGCCCGCCAACGCAGCGCTACTCATGTTCGCGCCAAAAGTAAAAAAACGTGTCCCTGCTCAATTAAGCAAAGGGGCGGCAGCGCTCACCTCCATTGGCAGCCCCGATTTAGCTGTGCAAATTCCACATTCCCATGGCAGGTACATTTTTCAATAGGATGATACAATGCTAACCTTCCACAAAGACGAATTTATTTAATCGAATGAAGATTGTACAGATAATGGTGACACTGGCTGTTCCGGCACTAAATGCAATATAGATTTCAATTTCAATATATTTTTTCTAAGTTTCTCTTTAACGGAGTTAAGTTTTTTCATTACAATATCAATGTTCGCTCGAACGAAAGGCTTATTTTAATTATTCAAAGAGTCTGCCTGCTCAAGCAAGAGTAGTATAGTGTTCATCCTTTATTAGCAGCCTTGAGCCCCCAGTGTAAATTCCATAAACCAATGACATAGACTGGTCTATCCATAGGAAGACCACTGATGACAGCCCACAGTGGGATTAAAATGATAAACCACTGGATGATTGATTGCTGAGTCAACCTCCAATAAGGAGTTAAAATTGCAATATTCAGATTTTCTTTAGCCAAATGATAGATTTATCAACTCAATCTGTTGAAACTAAACTTGGTCGAGACGGTAGAGTTCATCGCTCCAAGGTAAGCTGTGATACTGGATATTTTACACATTTAACCAACATAAATTGAGCATCAGACTTAACTGTGTAATAACACGAGCATCAATGTGCTCCACATTGTGTTTGGACGGCAGAAATAACCGACGCATGCTTAGCCAAGGAATGGTCATGTGATTCTCAGGTTCTGCGGGGGGGGGAGGGGCTGTAAGGTACACTACTGAACTATAGGATGCTGATTATTTACTTTTGGAACAAAAACACTATGCTTTGAATTAAGTTTGTTTTGGGTTTTTTTAACAGTAGTTCCAAGTGCAGATACAATGTAAATCTCTAGTTCAGACATGCTCTGCGACTTGTCTTTAAAACAAGTGCTGACAGCATTTATCAATATGACTCATGGCTTTCAAGGTAACGTGGCACTTCACGCACCAAAAATACATTTTACTCCCAGTGTCAAAACTGGACGTGCTATTACTCAAAACTCTGTATGGCAGATTACGGCGAGTATGGCCAGACGCAATGCAATTCCGTGCGAGAGCACCAACGTACTCAAAGACTTCCAACGGTACGTGCACGTCGTGAAGAGACTGCCGGCACTTCTCGATCTCCTGCAGCCCGCCGATCATTGTGTTCCTGCAGAAGAAAGGAAAAAAACACCCACCAGGCGCATTACAATTTCAATTGGCAACCCCAGGTCCCGGAGCCACACAGGCACGGCGTCCCTCCCGCTCAAACGGGCAAGCGGTGAGCACAAGTCTCCATTGGGAGTTTCTGAAGCCAGCGAGAGGAATTCCACATTTCTATAATGGGGACCTGTCTATCCACAGGGCAAACGCTTTTGTCGAGTGCCCAAATATCGTGGTTCTCTCATTTTATTAACTGCGGACGTATTCTGGGCTGATACACTCCCAAAACAGGATTTAAACTTTAAACCTCTCGCTGATTTAATACATTTAAACTAAGCTATGAATAAACCATCGTGCAGACAAAACCAACGATGTCTTTATTTGTTTGCATTCGTGCCCAAAAAGTGATCAAACACTTTTTTTCCTCTTTATAGTAGCAAGCGATTCAAATTCAGGAGCTCAGCAATACTGTCTGTATCAGACATTAAACCCACAAAGCCACAACACTACTGACCAGGTGGTGCTGTGGTAACAGCAAATGGAAAACAGTCTGAAGTTTCCACGTTCAAACATTGGCCAGTGGTTGACTCACAAAACCACCACCACCATTTACATATATCCTTTGGAGTGGGGTCCCTAAAAATTACACAAACTTTGTGGCAACTCAAGAGTGGCTTTCTTACGTTGCGACTTACAGCCATCCATGGGAATGTGTAATTTCCACTCATGACCTCACTCAAGGCCACAAATAACGATCAACAACAATCCCACACTCACTTAAACAGGTCTCTTAACGTCAACTAGCCGCATCCAGTTATACCAGCAACAGGATTTTTTTTCCTTAAAAAAAGTCTATCCAAAATTAAACCAAAAATTGATTCTGCGTCTTGAAAAGGCTCCCATTTGCATAAACATCTATCCCACGTCAGGTTGGCTAATGGATTTATTGTTCATGAAGCCGAGACTATTAATCACTAAATTAACTGCATCAGATGCACTTGACATAAGCAGCAGGCAAAGTACACTTCCAACTATTTCGGACTGGAGAATTATTGAACTACACATACAAGTTACATTTGCATCAGACTGTGAAAACTATCTGCATGAAAAGCGACTAAAGGGTATCGGACAGCACTTTTAGACAATCCTACCAAGCATGCCGAACAGTGATGTCCGGACAACTTCTGCACACTTTGGGAGTTACGTACAAAGCAAAGCATCTTGCATGGGCAATTAATAGCAACAAACCCTGGAACGGCAAAGAAATATAAATACAGTAAACAGAAATCTGACCTTAACGTTAATAAATTTCGATTTAAAAGCTTTCGTGACTGCAGGGATCCATATTCTTGGTTCTTTCAGTAAAGTTTAACACGTAGGCTTTCGCGACCAATATTATTCATAATAAAGGTTTTTGGGTTAGATCGCGTTTATTTATAAATGTGTCGTAACCCTCCACCACCCGACACGGCCAATCAGCAAAAAAAGTGTCACGTTGACAAAAGACAAATAATTCACTACTTTAGCCCACCGGTGTGTTGAAGAGTGAATCCACATTTACAGTTTGAGTACGACGTTTCACTGGTAAATACATCCAGCATCATCGGGCAATTCGCCAGAATGGTAAAGCCCTCGCTTGCTCCCGGTTTTATAGTAAAGTCACGTAGTAAAGTCACGTAGAAGGGAAATAATAAAATAATAAAAAATGAAATTCTCACGACGTTTCGATTGCAACACAAGCAATCTGATGATGATTGCCTGTGTTGCGACCGAAACGTCGTGATAATTTTATTGTTTTATTTTTGTTATTTTAAATTTAATACATCGGCTTTCATCGTAGCAAATTGCTAAATGTTGTGGATTGCAATCCAAAATATTGGTGAGCTGAAGCAATAAAAACTGGCACATTTGTTCACGTGACAACGGTATCTGTTTGGCTGCGTCAGGTGGAGGAGGGTATATGGCACAGTGGCATTTTACTCATGCAATCATTAAACATTATCAAGAGAGCTCTCACACAAGCGAACTGTACACAAGCTAAGAGGAATATAAATCCTTATACAGTCAAACGTCTTCATTCGTTGGATTTTTTTCTTTAGCACAACGCGTTTATTCGCGAATTTACATTTGTATTCGAGTTTAAATTTCGCGCCGTTCTCCTTCCGCTATTCGCAATGTGACCGTTTCGACTGTTCACAATTCGGCGGCATTGCATCGTGGGCGAGAGCTACTGGACTCGCATAGTACACACCAGTGGGTTGGTGGCCTTGGGGCTGTCATCGAAAATGCTGAAACCGTTGGTCTTCAAGTGCCTTTTATGCCACTTTTCGCCTTATTTGTGATGGGTTTTTTTTATTTCGATTGTGGGGGTCCAAGCGTCAAGTGAGTGGAGGAATTGAGAGCGAGAGTAAAAAAGGGAGAGAAAAGAAGGTGATGAGTTTAGCTCAAAAAAGTCGAGTTGTTGGATAAACTTGCTATCGTGGTGATAGTGCGTCTGCCATTACACGGTAAACGAGTCAACAGTCGGCTACATAAAGAAAAACGAGAAGGCAATCAGGGAAAGTGTAGCGACAAGTGCACTGATGACCACCCAAGTAGTATCATCATCACAGGCCAAGTAGTATCATCATCACAGCCCCATTATTATCATCATCACAACCATGGTAAACAAAGCATCCAAATTTAGAGTCAAATGTATTGACGTGTTTGTATTGTGTGTTGTCTGTTGTATTATTGTACAATTTAATTCAGCATATCGATGTTGTTTATGTGTACAATATAGGATTAATGTTATGAAACGTTTTCATTATATCCCATAAGTTCAGTCAGACAAGGGAGCTTAAATCGCCTTTCCCACCATATAAACATAGGATCAACATTCATGATTTCATTAACAGAGATTACCCTGTTAAGAAATTGGCCCACCGAGAATGGAAGGTAGAATTTCCATCGCCGACTGCTAATGTAGATCAGCATCTCCCCGTGCTCTTTTTAGCGGGGTTCACATTTTTTACGTAAAACATTTCACCAATTGAATTTACTTTTAAATGTGTTTAACACAAGAACTGTGTGCTCCCTGTGAATCCTGTCATCATTTTTTTAGCACAGTTACTAAGTAAAGGCCCTAAGGCCCGTAAATTAGGAAATGGGGAACAAGGAAAGCTAGAGTAAAGATTGGAAGTGCAATGTAACAAATTCTTGAATTGAGTTTAATTATAAGAATAGGTTTTGTCCTTTCTAGCAATAACACAGGTCCAAAATAAAAGTTTTTGGGTTCGATCGCATAAGTATGAATGTGTCGTAACCCACCTCCACCCGACACAGCCAAACAAGTAAGAATTGTGACGTAAACAAAACGTCCCAATAAGTTACTACTTCAGCCCACCGGTGTGTTGGAGAGTAAATCCAAAACAAAAACTTTGTTATAAATAATACTGATCGCGAAAGCCCACGGGTTAAAAACAGGAGGTGTTAAGATATTCAAATACCGAATAGATAGCTTTTGCAAGGCATCAAGTCTGCATTAAGCACACGTACTTGTGGCAAAACATGCAAACAAACACCTTCTGATATGTGGCATTGTCTTTGAAACTGATTGGCCTACACCAGACAGCCTTCTTCATGGCCTTGTCTCACCAATGTCAGCACCAGAGAACGCCAAAAGATAGAACAGTACAAAGGCAATGCACGTATGAAAGCATCAAACCTCGGTTTAACAATGGTGAAAGAGGCTACACAGCTGAGAAAGACCGGAGGCAAGGAGTTCCAGACAGTTTGTAGGCACTATCTCACAGCCCTTGCCGTGACAGTCTAGAAGTCATTTACGGATTTTTTTTCGTAGGCATCACTCATGACTTGGCTGCAACCACTGAACTCGTCACATTTGGAACACTCTCTCAGTAAGTGTCAAAACGGAGCTTACACCAAGCACATCAAAGCTCTGAGACTTAGCACCATGGCCCGAGCAGCACACCTCTCAGCCACACTCAATAATGTCTGCAATACAATTCCTACAATTACACAGCTGCAAAGGAAAGAGAGTTATATTAGATTGAACGTGGTGACAGACGACGTTTGGCCAATTCGAACCTCACAATCATCACACTGCAAGGGTTACGAACTCCAAGCCAGAGGCGCAGCTCAGCCACGCCATGAACACAATGCGGTGGTTCCCGCAAATGTCCTCGCTAGGAAAAACACTTTTAAAAGGCTGACCGCTTACAAGAGGTTCCTAGTAAAGGCGTACCAACACTCATTGCCCCTACTGCTGCATGACGCTCATTGATGTGGCCGGATATCAAGTTCAATAGCCCGGAATGTTAAACATTGGTCCCCCGTCTCCAAGCCACCAGGCTATCATGCAGATCGTCGACAGTCAAATATTTCGCACTGACGCAAGCGCACCAACTCCCCCCCCCCCACCCCCCCGCAAGAGAATTAACAATCTGCCATGCAGCGGGTCTGTCAATAGAAAGTGCATTGGCACCGTACAATATTGGCAGCAGCTGCTACTGTGCGAGCAACCTGCGGTAAAAAACCAACTAATTATTGCCAGCAGATCCGACGACAAGCGTGCTGACAATGCTCGTACGCACGCACGCTCGCTCGTTAAAACATTTCCTGCAAAAAACACCACCACAGAGACGTGTAACAACAGTGCCTTCTGAAGAGTAAAGATTGTATTCCCAGGGCCTTGCCTAACTATACACGGCTGGGTGGGTGTTGCAGTTCGGGAAGGTCGACTCCCAACTGGAAGGTCGCAAGTCCAAATATCCGACAAATGGAATATTGAACTTCTTCTACCGGTTGAGTGATATCAACGTTTGTAAAATTACCCCAGCGCGAGAGCGGGGAGATACTTTGACGTAACGTTTCACCTTGTCAAAAATATATGCATGTTTATATTCCCCATCTGCTATAGAGATGAAGAGTTTATCTTTGAATGGGATTTGAAATGGAGACCACCAGACATGACGTGAGTTGTATAACTGCCATGCCATCCGGCCA